AAACAAACTTGGGGAGCTGTGCGAGCTGCTCCTCATTTAAATCAGCGCTCTTTTTTAATTCTAATTTTTTTTGCAACAACCTTGCCTTTTAAAAAGCATTTTAGTATATAATGCAATTAATTTTTTCTAAATGACATTGTGTTTTTTATTTTATTTAAAATGATAATTATACTTTTATGAGAAAAATTATACTTTTGTGAGAGCCGTAAATAGCTTTCGTAAACTGTTTCAGGGGAGTGGGGGGCAAGAGCGAGAGCTAAAGCTCTTGCTTCCCATCGAGGCCTGTATATGTATATATATATATATATATATATATATATATATATATATATATATATATATATATAAATATATATATACATATATATATATATATATATATATATATATATATATATATATATATATATATATATATATATATATATATACACATATATATGCATGTAAAGGTATATATAAATTTATAATAAAAAGGTATATAAAAACATATAAGTATGTAAAAGGTATATATAAAATTATATATAAATGTATGTATAAAAATAAATATTTATACATTTGTACTCATGTAATACCAATTCCTAAAACTCAAAAGACCACTTGAATAAAACGAGTCACTATTTATTTACTTTCGGATGTTTACAAAGAAAACTCCTTTAATTAAAATTCACATAATTTAAAAAGTTTCTTGAAAAATTAAATCAATCTTTCTTGAAGTGGTTTACATTAACGTGTGGTAACAACATTCCAATCAATTGCCATATACTTATGGAGAAAGCTTATAAATGGTCATTGGTATTCAGTAACAAAAATTTTACATCATTGAGTGGATGATTATGTGGTAGTAAGGAAGGACAAATGACATTTTCCTTCTGTTTTATTTTGCATTTCAGTCCAAAATAAAGTTAGATAAGATAAACCATGACATTTTAAAACATGACAGAATCGTTTAGGAGGTCTCTGGATAATTAGGAAAAGTTACAGAGGAGAAGACTGCACCTTACTAACAATATATGCTAAATAGAAAGTAAAGGAAAAATTTCAGTGCTGATAAACTTAGTTTTATCAATGAAGGATTGCCATCATTATCTTTTCACTTCAGAGGTAAACAGGATTAAGGTGAGAAACTTAAAGATATCAATATTTGTGATTGGGAATCTGTTAACCCAAGATGTTTTAGGCATGTTCTTAACTTTTCTTGAAGATATCAATCTAAAATAAGAAGCAGGGGTGATACCATTTCTTAGGAATGGATGTGCAAATTTAGTTGTAAGTAAATGCAAAGAAGAAAGATTGTTATGATAATAATTGTCCATCCAAAAGTTTTATTACTAAAAGCTGTTAATTTACATATACACACCAAATAACCTGTACACAGCCCATGGATCAAGAGGTTTACAGGTATATTTACTTTATTTTTCAATTATGGTTTTATCATTACTCAATCACTATCAAATGTTTTGATATTGCAATATAAATTATTATATAAAAAAAAGACTTTTTCTTTTATATTACTTAAGACTTTTCACTTATATATATATACAATACATAAGACACTTATGTATTGTATATATATAAGTGAAAATGTTTTAAAGAATAAGTTGAATGCTCTTATAGTCTGTTTTTTTTTAGTTCTATCTGAACTTCTACCTGAATTTAACAAGTGGACAAATTTTCTTTTTTGGAAATTTAGTTATCCACTCGTTTTTTTAACCACTAAATTTGCTTTTTCATTTAGTAAACCACTAAATTTGCCTCTTTAAAAATGGCATCTGTGGTTACAAAATTTAAAAACTATGGTGAACACGCTAACCTCTAACTATTTTCAATTAATTATCACTAACTATTGTCCAATCATTCTTTTCTCAATTATTAGCCATTTATTTGTCTTTAATTAACAAACATCTTGAGCCTAACTATTTCTTGTCTGGCAATTTGACATATTTCTATTCTCTTGCTCTACAGCCGACTTGTTAACTGTCACAATTGAAAGGTTTTATCAAGCATTAAATAGAAGTGGCAAGGTAAGGGCTATTGCTCTTGAAATCTCAAAAGCTTTGATAAAGTCTGGCATTTTGGACATTTTTGTATCTTCTTTAATTTTAGTTTTTTATAAGGAGATTTTTTTTTTCTTAAAATTTTCAAAATTAAACTGAAATGTAATGCCAAAATTATTGTATAAAAAGTCTTTTTATTTTTTATGTCATGATTTGAAATTTTTTTTTTTTAATTTTCTTTTAAGAATTATGAAATAAAAGTTTATTAACTTATGTAAAAGAGGAGCCCATCTGCAAAATCTCACAAAACTAAAAATTTTGAATTCATTCTATTTTTATATTCTATTTACTGAAGCTTATCATCTATTTAAATATTAAACCAACTGAACTTTTTGTCATAAAAATAGACAAAGAAACCTCAAATGATGTTTACTAATGTAATTAGTGGGTAAATTAAGTGATTATAATTTGGAAATATTTCTGCTTATTAAATTCTCAGTTTTATCATTCTCATCTAAAGTTGTTTTAATGAAGGGATCAAATTATCATATAAGAAAATTTATGAAAAACAAGTTCGCGACTGCAAAAGTATTGGAAACGTGATTTAATTTTTTTTGTTTACTACAAGTATCATCAATAAAATACAAAGTTAAAATAAAAACTATTAAACAGGAATTATCTTTTTTCATATATTTCCAGAATTCAGGATATTTTTCTCAATTTTTAGTTTTTACGAATAAATCAATATATGTTAATAGAGTTTTTATGTTTTATTAAAAAATAACTATAAGTTGTGTAAATTAATTTTTGTATGTTTTTAAACACCTGTGTCTTTAATTTCTATAAATGTCTGCACTCGAGAGTTACAACCATTTAATTGGCGGTTATATTTGGTTGATAAAAAAATGTTAAATAAGATTTAAATAAGTCAAGATATTTTAAAATTTTTTAAAATATTTGATCACCGCTGAATTTCATTAGACTGTTGTCATTTTAGTTTGTCATTGTACTGTAGCTTTGTATTTCTAGTTTTATCTGATGATTTTTCAAATGAATTTAAATATTCAATTTTGAACCATAATTATTAATAATAGTAATTAAAATAACAATATGGTTTTATAATGAGATTATTTATCATAAATTTGTAACCAATGTACAACTATTTTTTATTGAGTAACACCTATTAAATTTTGTAACCAATGTACAACTATTTTTTATTGAGTAACACCTATTAAATTTTGTGATTTTCAAAAACATTGTTTATGTTTTTAAAAACTAAAAGTTTAAATGCCAGAATCAGGAAAATCAAACAAAAATAAGAAGTTTTTCCAGATATTGCAATTCGCAATCACTTAATTTACCAGTTAGTAATGATGTAATCAGTGTTTATTATGTATAAATAAAAGTTTTTAAAATTAATTTAAAAATTTATATGAAATTTCTTTTATTTGCTTTTTTAATTTTTTATGTACTTTATATTATTTATATTATTTATTTTCTTATTTAAATTATTTTTTTAGTCCTATTTTTGTCATCTTTATTTGATATTACACTTAATGCAATCGGAATCGCATAGATGCAATTGGTATTGCATAGATGCAATTGGTATTGCATAGATGCAATAATGATTGCATTATTTGTAATATCAGATCTGTTATTCTACATTAGGGCTGTCTAAAATTGTTAAAATGCCTGTCTAGGTACCCTTCAAACAAGTGTGCAGGTACCTAAGTACTTGTCAAAATAGCATTATTTTAAAAAATAAGTTTTTTCTATAAACAGTCATTAAAAATTTTATTTCAATGGTGTCATTTATTATAAGTTTAATTCAATGGTGTCATTTATATAAGTGAAAAAGAACAGCACTAGTTGTTTTTTTTCACTTATATTTTTTTTTTAGTTTCCTGGTTACACAAGATTTAGAAATATTAGCATGTCCACTGATTTGGGTGCCAAAGATGCACACTAGCAGTCAAGAAATTGCATTCTGATGGCACTCAAATATGCACATGTACTTCCCGCTAAAATTGAATAATTATATTTTCTATCTTGCAGGTTTTGAAAGAGTTTTGTCCAAGAAAAAAATTAGTAAGCATGTCCAAATATATTGTTTGCTTAGGAATAAGCAAACAATTTAAGCAAAGTAACAGCCACAAATAGTCAAAAAAACTAATTCAAAGTAGCATTGGTTTTTACCCAATATTTTTGTGTACCAAAATACTAACAAGCACTGAGTTAGTGGTGCACAACAGTCTGGATTTTACATTTAGTTTGATGCAGCCATGATAATAATAATGATTGAGAAATAATAATTGGATATCTGAATCAAAAACTCAAATTACTTTCTTAATGTTATAATAAATATTTTCAGAAATCCTCATGGTGTTAAAAAAAAATTTTCACTGCCAAATAATATTGTTAAATTATAATACCTATTATTAAGTAATCCTACTGAAGCAGTAACCAATGGACTTGTGCCTAGGTACCTATTGACATCCTTTCTCCTTTTAATTTTTTTTTTTTGCAACATTTGTCAATTTTTATTGAAATGATATTTTTAGTAGATGATAGCTTAGTCATACATTTATGATGATATTACATTTAACATACATATATATTTTTTTCGTTATTCACCTCCTCAAGGCCGAGAAGGCCACTACAGACAAGGAGGCTACTTATTAGTAGTTATAACCCTCTCTCAACTCTATAACTTTAATACACTAACCTTGACGAACAAGGCCGCTGCGCAGAGAAACAAGTTGAACATATATTGTACATATATTGTAGTCACATAATATTTATTTAAACATATATTGTCGTCACATATTATTTATGCATCTATGACATATACTCCCATATATAATGTTAAGTTTTAAAGTTTTAGTTTGTGATCTAAAAAGAAAATATGTAAACAACTCTTTTAATGATAACAAAAAATATGAATAGTTACCCAATAGTAACCCATTAAAGTTCTTATTTTGCAATTTTTAAAATCTTATTTAGTTAAAGGTACCACAAACTGTGATGTAACATGTGACACAAAATATGCTGCATATTCTAACAGCAATTTTACCTCTGATTTACAAAAACACTTTATTCCGATGCCGATTACTTTTGAAAGATTGGCAGAAGAAGGAAAACAACTTGAATTATCAAAAGATAAACGTATTGATGGTATGAATCCACGTCAAAAACTCATTACATATATGTATCAGTCTCTTGATGCAAATCGCTCTCCATTCAAGACTACTTGGTATGTATATAAATTTAATAGTTCAAAAAATTTTTTAAAAATTTAATAAGCCATTTTATTAAGTCTCTGACACAATTTAAATATTGAATTTTAAAGTTTTAGGGGTATCTAATATTTCTTCATACATATTCTAATATTTACCTTTATTTACCTTATGTTACCTTTCTGACAATCTTGCATGATAAAACTATGCAAAAGTGGAACACATGATTAAATGTGTTCCAAATGGAATGTTTTTTAAATTAAAATGCCAACTTTGCTTAAATCTGAAAAAAAAAATGTTGGTTGTTTTGCAGTATAAGTCGTGTTATTGTTATCTATTCTTTATTTTTCTACATTATTGTTCTTTATTCTGAGTATAGTCATAGGATTGAATAGTCTAGATTTTGTGTTGATGTTAGGTTCTTGTCCGTATTAATACCCAGCCTACTTTAAGGAGCAAAACAAAAAAATTTTTAAAAAGAATTTAAATAAAAGTACAATTTTGTGATAAAAATATTGCAATGCCTGGAGCAAATTGTTTAATATTGGTTCAATATTACTAATTCTTGTTATTCACAGAGTATAGCTATATTAAGTCTTCCTAAAGGTCAGAATGACTATAATGGTCAATGAAGAAGAAAATTGATAGAGATTATCACAAAAAATCATTTGAAGAGGCATTTTGAAGAACACAAACTTAATAGAAGTAAGCTAAGTGTTCACATATTCAAGTGTGTGTAAATGTATATATATATATATATATATATATATATATATATATATATATATATATATATATATATATATATATATATATATATTTATATATATATATATATATATATATATATATATATATATATATATATATATATATATATATATATATATATCAGGGCCTGTTTTAGGAAATAATTTAGGCTGTGGTAACCCCACGTCCTGGCGAAATTTAGTGGAAAATCAGCGTTTTTTATCGAAAAAAATAATATTTGTTATAAAAAACATTTAATAAAAGAAAAAGGTTCTAAAATTATAATTTTGGCTCTCAAATATTGTTGATGCTGTGTCAGCACTCTTAAGTTGGAATCATGGGAACTTATATTATTTATATTATTTATATCAAAAGATTTAGTCAAAGTTTTAAAAATAGACAACATTCACCTACAACCCCAATAAAAGATGTATATTCAACCTAGCCTTATATTTACAATACGATCTTTTGCAAAAAGATCATGTTGTATATATAAGGCTTGTGTAAGGCTTTTGCTTATGTAAAACTTTGGAATTGTCACAAAATAATAAACTTTAAAAGGCTGTAAAACATAAAACTGAAACAATGACAAAACCTCTATTAAATGCTCCTATTTCAATAACTTTACTTTAAGAATTAAACTTACTTTGCACAACTATTGAACTGAAAATGCTTTTTTGAAACAAGAAATGAAAAATAGGCAAGATGAAATTTAAAAAAATTCATTTTAAGTAACCCATGACCTTGATGAAGATATGAAAAGCTGTCAAATGTTTTTAATCAATGTTTCACCATTTATGAAATTCTTTTGGAGTGAGCAACAAAAATACCTATTATCAAATCCAACATCTGTATGTTATCATCCTATGATTATATGGTATTGCCTTAGCTTTTGTGAAAAGTTTCCTGCGTATATAAGGATGTTTGCTTTGATAGAAAGTCTGGTACTGGTTTTATTGTATTACCATGCCGTTGTCATCTTCCTGACTACAAGAATTATATTCATCCTCAACGTGGTTTTAATCCTGATATTGTTAAATAGTTGAAATCTTGTGAAATATTGTTAAATAGTTGAAATGAAAAGTAAAAGATTTTAGTGAAATAGAAAAATATATTGTATTGTTGTTTGATGAAATTAAAATTCAAGATAATCTTTTGGGATAAATACACAGTAGAAGTTATAGGAATTGTTGACTTATAAACTAATATAATAATAATGATTTAAAGATGCAAATTATTTAAATGATTTAAATGATTTGCAACTTTAAATCATTTGCAAGTTTAAATCATTTATCATTATTAATATCATTTGCAAGTTTAAATCATTATTATTATATTAGTTTATAAGTCAACAATTCCTATAATTTCTACTGTGTGTTTATCCCAAAAGATTATCTTGAATTTAAATTGATTAAAATTGATTGAATTGATTTAAATTGATTGAATTGATTGATTAATTGATTGATTAAGATTGATTTAAATTGATTGAATTGATTGATTAATTTATCTTGATTTAAATAATTTCTGTTGAAATAAGAAAAAAAAAAAAAATAATAATAATCATTCAAATGATTTGCAACTTTAAATGATATGCAGTATATTTAATTCTTTTAAGTTTACACTAATTTTGCAAAACTTGGAATATCATCAGCCCAAATGTTTCTATTATTTTGGAAAGCTGTTGGTATATGTGAACTGGAATGCAAGTTAAAAGTTATAGCAACAACTTGTGATGGTGTTGTTCCTAACCGAAAAATTTAACTAATTTAAATAAGGATGCAGATGTCACATATAAAACTATTAATCTACATTGTCCTGAAAGTTATATCTACTTTATATCTTACCCCCCAACCCCCACATCTTCTTAAAACAACAAGAAACTGTATTTATAGCTCTGGCTTTAGTAAGTGTACTAGATGCATGTGGAATGATGGTTTATACATTCTATGGAATCACATAGCAGACATTTTTAAGAAGACCAAACATGTGATTTACATCTACCCCCAAAATCATCATATGAATGCATTAAATTATCATCTTATTCTAATATGAACATCAAATTAGCAGCTCATGTTTTTAGCAATAATGTTAGTAAAGTCCTTCTTAACTATAGATTACACTGCTGTTAGTAAAGTCCTTCTTAACTATAGATTACACTTATGTTTTTTTTTTTTAATTTTTTTTTTTTTTTTTTTTTTTTTAATTCACCTCCTCAAGGCCGAGAAGGCCACTACAGACGAGGAGGCTACTTATTTACGGCTATAACCCTCTCTCAACTCTATAACTCTGAAACACGAACTTTGACGAACAAGGCCGCTGCACGGAGAAACGAGTTGAGCGCGGTACTACCAGGTGCGTGGTGGGGATCGAACTCGGAACCACTCGTTTATGAAGCGAGCGCTCTACCACTACACCACTACCGCATTTAATATATGTTAGTTATATGTTAGTAAAGTCCTTCTTAACTATAGGTTACACTTATGTTAGTAAAGTCCTTCTTAACTATAGGTTACACTAATGTTAGTAAAGTCCTTCTTAACTATAGATTACACTTATGTTAGTAAAGTCTTCTTAACTATAGATTACACTTATGTTAGTAAAGTCCTTCTTAACTATAGATTACATTAATGTTAGTAAAGTCCTTCTTAACTATAGATTACACTGCTGTTAGTAAAGTCCTTCTTAACTATAGATTACACTAATGTTAGTAAAGTCCTTCTTAACTATAGATCTTCAGATGCTTTTGCTACATCTAACTTTTGTTAAATGATTGACAGGTTTTTTGATTATGGAATCAATTCAAAAGTCAAAGCCATTCTCAGCCCCATTTTATTCTGTTGATGACCATCATTTTATTCTGTTGATGACCATCATTTTATTCTGTTGATGACCATCATTTTATTCTGTTGATGACCATCATTTTAACTGCCTTAAAACAGAATTTTTGCCATATTTTCAAAAGTGGTTAAATTCCATCAATAACTGTCAAAGTAATTTTACTCTAAATAGAAGTAAAATGTTTATATCATGGCAAACCCATAAAGGAGTTAAAATTATTGTTAATTCTGCTGTTGATGAGATAAAATTTTTACTTTTTAATGATGTATCTTATGTTTTAACAGAAAGATTTTGTCAAGATCCACTTGAAAATTATTTTGGACATCAATGCCAAATTGTTTCTCGCAAGAATAATCCATCTGTCTGTGAATTTGGCTATAATGATAATAATTTTTAAAATCAAAAAGTCTTCCGATCTATAAAAGATAGTAATTCTGAGAAAGATGTTCACTTTGAAATTATTGAAGAGCCAGTACTATGCAGGAAGTTAATAAATGTTTCTCTAACATACGCTTATTTAAAACAACTGTTTTCATATCCACAAATTGTTAAAACATATTATTGGCTAAATGAGCAGGTACTTTATGATCTAATATTGATTGATTTGATCAAGGAAAGATGAATACATTTAAGTAATATTATACTAAGTTGTAATTTTATAAAATTTCATTTCTTGCTTGAATGGATTGATGTTATAATCAAGGTCAGTACTAGTGTATTGGGCAATTTGAGGCTAAAATTTCATAATATTAACTATTAAAAATAGTTAATCTTCGTATTTTTCAAATATTCAAATCATAATTATTAAGTTAAAAAATTTTAACAGATAATAGCCCTAGTTTTATTTATATAGTTGCTTAAAATCATTAATTAAAACAAAGCATTTGTGTAATAAAAGGATTTTCTTAAGGATTGTTGCAAACGCTCTTAATATATATCAAGGGGTGTATCAGGGGTATATCAGGGGTGTATCCAGCATTTTTTGGTCTTTGATATTGCTAACTTCCAGACATAAAACAAACTCCAAACATTTAAATGTTTATACTTACATCATATAAGGAAGCTTTTCAAAAAGTAGCAATGCTTGGACCTAGGAGCAAAAAAGCTCCATAATTTTCTGTCGCAAACCTGAGGGCAACAAGTTGATAAAATATTTTTTTTACTATTCTCAACAAGACTTATATTCATCGATAAATTTTAAGTTTCATAGTATAATCTCTTAATGTTCAAAAATTATGACCATATAAAATTTGTAACCCGCTTAATTTAAGGGAGGTTCAAACTTTATAAGGTCTTAATTTTTGAACAATATAATATTTTACTATGAAATTTAAAGTTAAACAATGAATATAAATGAAATGAAATGACAATGAATATAAAAAAAGTTAAACAATGAAATTTAGTTAAGAATAGTACAACTTTACCAACTTGTTGCTTTCATGATTGTGGCTAGGAGTTGCTTTCATGATTGTGGCTGGGAGTTGCTTTCATGATTGTGACTGGGAGTCAAAAATTTAATGTTTTTTTTGCTCTAAGCCTCCAATCATCGCAATTTTTTGCAAACCACTCTTATTTGACATAAATGTAAACAAATGTTTGGAGTTTGTTCCATGTCTAGAAATTAGCTATGTTAAAGACCAAAAACTGTTAAATTCGTCCCTGATCTCTATTTGTATCTAAAAAAGAATATTGGAGTTGTAATTGATAATTGCAGTTAAAGTGAGTCTACTGAATGATTAGACTTGATTGCAAGGAGAAAGGTAGCTCAAAAAATGATAAAAAAGATTTGCATGCTTAATCGTGACATTTAGTTTTTAGAACAAAAGTTCAACACTCATGTAAAATATTTATCAATCTAATTTTTCAATATTTTAATTCATAAAGATTTAGCATTTTAAATATGCAATTTTTAGTTAATTTTTAAGTTAATAAATAAAATTAAAAAAAAAGCAAACAAAACCAAAGATTTTTGAGAAAACATTCTCACTTGAAAACATCATGATCAAAAATTTTAAACAACTCTCCCTGAGAGTTTTTAAGCAACTCTCCTGTGAGTTTTTAAACCTCTTCCTAAGAGTTGCTTTTTTAAACCTCTCCCTGAGAGCTTTTTTCATATACTCTTAAAAATATATATTGATCAAGTTATCTGAGGTACCAAATAAATGCTCATAACTCGGTTGGAATTTTTATTTTTATTAGTGCAATTATATTTTATAGTTTTTAAGGTTGGTTTACCCTAAAAAAAATTTTTTAATTTTGAGATATTGTTTCCTTGTTGATAACAAGTAAAATTTAATAAACAGAAGAGTTTTTCAATTTAATAATTTTATTAAAAAAAAAAACAAAAAAAAAACAGATTTAATAAACTCAGAATAAATAAGAAAGTTCCCAAAAAAACATGGAATATGGTAGTAAAAACCATAAAATGTTATCTAAAAACTATTACCTATGTAGAGTTTCCAATCTGTTCAAAATGTGTGTTTGTAAATTTTATATAGTCATATATTTTGATTAACTTTTTTTTTTTAACAACTTTGCTTCCAACAAGGCTGCAAGCAACCACTATTTAGTGTTGGAAGTTACTGGAAGAGAAAAGATGAAGATTGTAGAGCAAGATAGCGATTGACAGACGACTTAAAAGATTGCAAATTATATGAATCAGGAAAGCAAGATGAAGGAAGCGAATTCCAAAGAACTGATGTTCAAGGAAAAAAACTAGACGAATAAGAGTTTTTGGAGCACTTAAGAACAGTAACAGAAAAAGGATGAGACTTAATTGAATGACGAGTAACACTAGAATGAATTTTAGTAGATGGCACAAGAGACGCTAGCTCTTTAGAGCAGTGCCCATTATAGTATTTGTAGAAAAGAGAAAGAGAAGCAACATTACAACGATGTGACAGAGGTTGAAGGTTGGCTGCAAGAGCAGGTCCAACTATGTTTACAATGCGTTTTTGCACCTTGTCTAAAAGAGAAAGGGCATCATTAGAAGATCCGCCCCAGATATGGCAACAGTATTCCATACAAGGTCGGATTTGAGATTTGTAGAGATAGAGAATAGAATCCAGAGTAAAAAAGTGTTGAGCTCGATAAAGAGATGCAACTTTAGCAGATGCTAATTTTGTAACGGATTTGATATATGGTTTCCAAGAAAGATCAGAAGTGAGAGTTAATCCTAGAAGATGAAGGGTAGATGACTCATCGAGTACATTACCGTTCATAAATATAGGAAGGTCTAAATTATTGCGATAACCATTGGCTGAAAAAAATTGATTTTTATCTGAATTAAAGTTCACCAGCCACTGTGAGCCCCATGCTGTAGCAGAAGCAAGATCCTTTTCAAGTATAATTTATACGCTTAGTAACAAGTATGTTTTAATTTAAATATTCGTTATATATTAAATTTTTATTTTTATAAATTTTATAAATTTAATTTTTCATTGCATCACAAACTTTTTATTGGGATTTAGTAAAAAGTTATATTCAGTTAACATGATTTGGTACTAATAATACGATATCTTGAAAGATAAATATTTATAAGATGATGTCATATACTGAAGCTGTTATGAATTAAACACGCATGGAGTTAATTATCAAGTTTGCTGATTGTGGCTAACATTATACTGACTTCGAGAACCAAAGTGACGGTGAGCTTCAAATAAAACGTGAATTTTAAAATTGATGGTGTGCATTCGTTATTTAGTTTTAATCAAAAAAATTAAGCCCAAATGTTTTTTTTAAATTTTCTTTAATATGAACACAACTTGTCTCGGTAGTTGGGGATCCCTTTAAGTTGTTGATCTTTAATTTTGTAAACCTGTAGATTATCCTTTACATAGGAAAATGTCCTTGCTTTCACATACAAATTCAAGATGTTTTCAAGAACATTTAATCAAACCTCTTTATTAACAAAAGTATCAGTTTTACTTCTAATCTTTAAAAATTTGATGAAACATTTGTCTATAAGAAGTGAGAATAGAATATTTTTGCTGTCAATTTTATTGATAGACTTACCATATTGTTAAAGGTTGTTTCAGCAGTAATAAAAATACAAATTGCCTCAATTTTCATTTTCCACAAGTCAAGATCTGTTACGCCTATGAACAAGTTTGTGCTCAGGCTCAGTTGAGTAACAAATAAACTAGATACTGTTAATAGTATTCTTTCTTATAAAGATCTGAAAACCTGATGAGGCGGTATAATGTGCTAAAAACATACCCACATAAGTAGGCGATGACAGATTGATCCCTATTTGAAAGTAGACAAGCCTTCCCAGATGAAATTGTATTGCTCTAAACTGATTGACCAGAAAGATGCAGTTACATACTTTACTATACAGAACATACAGTTACTATACAGAAACATGGTTACATACTTCGAATCCGAGTAATGTGGAACATTAGTGTATTTAATCCAATAAAAATTGAATCAATATTGTCAAAAATACATATGTAAAAATCTGGATAAAAATTTTCAACATTTCCTTGAAATAAAGATAAAATCGGTTTTATAATCTGGTATGCTGTGTTAGCTATATCAAAATTAATCACATAAGCTTTAAAATGATTTTGTATGGACTCAAAACAATTATCTGATGAAACCTTTGCAACACTATATACAACTATACTTTTTATGACTATGGTGTGCTTTGCTACCAATAGTTTTTTTTAAACCAGTTATGTAAAAATCTGGATAAAAAGTTTCGGTATTTCCTTAAAATAAAGATAAAACTGGCTTTAATAATCTGGTTTGCTGTGTTAGCTATGTCAAAATTATTCACATAAGCTTTAAAATGATTTTTTATGGGTTTAAAACAGTTATCTCATAAAGGCTTTGCAACACTTTTCTTTATAAATATATTTGAAAGTCTTTAAGATCAAGAATTTCTTCTGATATTTTAGTTTTTCTAATATCTTTTAATGTGTTAGTATGACTTGAGCATCAGAATGTTTGCTCTTAATGTGACAAGTGAGTCCCCTAGAGCTCAAACATTTTTTGTTACAAAATTGACAGGAAAGTTTTATTTATGGTATATCTGAAGCATGTTGTTTTTCAGCAATGCCATTTAACAAATCCTGGTCAATAACTGTAGAAATAGAATTAAGCTCATCTTGATGCAACTCAAAAAGGGCTCAAAATGATTCAAATTTTATGAACTTTTAGCCATCATAAAATTTTGTTTTGCACCTATTTTCATTTTCAACCATCCCATTTTCAACTTAAGCAATAAAAACAATTGAAAACAGCCTGGGTTTCCAGACTATTCTTTTTATGACTATGTTCTGAGTGTTTTATTTTCAATTTTTTTTCACAACAAAATTTTTAATCCTAATATTGTATCTTTTAGCATGATATTCGGGCAGAGTGGAGTTGGGAAGTCCTTATTTCTCAATCATTTTATTGGACGTGATGTATTGAATATCAACTCCTTTACATCAGAAACAAGGTTTTTTTTTGTAAATAAATTTTCTTTTTTTGTGTATTACTTCATTTAAATGTATGAATAAATATTAAATTTAAAAGGCATAAATAAATAAAAAAAGAACTAAAATGAAAAGTATTAAATTTTACCAGTTGCGCTAAATTTAATAAATTTATTTATCTTAAACAAATTTGTCACATTCAAATAAACTTACTTCAAAGTTATAGATTGTACATTTTCACATCTTGCACAGGGCTCTTATACTCTCATCTTGCAGTGTTGCAGCATTCCTATACTCTTATTTTGCAGTGGTGCAGTGTTCGTATACTCTCATCTTGCAGCAAAAAAAGACCTGCAACTATTCCACAAACAATCAATTGAAATTTTTGAAATTGATGCAATAAATTCATACTAGTTCAGTATGTGTTAAAATATATAAGAAGAACTTATTGATAAAACAAACTTAAAAATTCTAATCTAGTGATCAGGACCCCTGCCCCAGCTAAAGATGGAGTTTTTAATAACCTGCACCTTGCCCTGCTAAACAATTAAGATTAGTAGTGGTTAATAGCCAGGGCTAGAATATGTTTTTTTACTTATTTTTTTCTTGTTTTTATTTATTTTGTTTATATAATTATCTGCTATGAAAGCTGAAGAAAATAGGAAAGCCTCACAAATAAAATATTATATATATTATATATTTCAAAATATTCTAAAATTATTTGTTTATAACATAATATAATTCGTATAAATTTACAATATCAAATAAGAGATTTTCAAATAATTTATGTTTCTTCTTCTGAATCTGAAGATTTGTAAATGATTTTAATAGTTTAAATTAGGTGGTTTAAAATCTTAAGAAATCTGTAGGAGCTTAACATAAACATTTAGGAAGTCTAGAAGAAAGATGTTGAAAAAAGAAGATGTAAAGATGTTGAAAATAAAAGGGCCTTTTAATTGTATTTAAATAAAAGAAGTGTTTTAGCATTCTTTGTAGTAAGTCTTGGGCAGATGTAAAATGCAATTAGCTACTGTCTTGTAGAAGGCCTCCTAGGCAAAGACTTAAAGAGTAAACAGATTTTATCTGTTGACCAGCCTCACACCCCTTCTTCATCTATAAGGCTGCAGGGGTGTACCCTCATGGTCAAGTAAATGTGCAGTTTAATCATTAATAACACTGAATCTCTTTTGTTTTTGTAAGTAAAATAAAATTTTATTTTAACTTTTTCAAACAAAATTAACAAAATAAAAAAAAATGTTAAAATGCACATGAAAAATCATGCATTTAGAAATTCTTTTTTTCTAAAAAAAAAAGTCTTAGTATAATGAAAAATGTTTAAAGCAACAATGTTAAAAGCGTAATGTTTTAAACATTTAATTAAATTAAATTTGATTGAAGATTAAAAGAAAATAATAGGTTTTCATTTTTTTTTTTTTTTATAAAATGTTTTTTTTTTGTGTATTGGCTTTCAACTTTTTTGCCTCACATAATAAAACCTTTGTTAAGATTGCAAAAAGAAACTTGGTCAGCGCAAAGGACGGGTGTGGGAGGTGTGATCCCCATTAATAAATTTTTTGTTCATTTAATCTGCATTTTTGACCCTTTTAGACAAGTCAGTTGGCAAATGTAGACACTTTAAAAAAGTCAGTTAGCTAATTTCAAAAAATGAGAACCTTTTTTATTTATTATAGTTACCAAAAATCCCATGGCACCTCATCCCCCCCTCCTCCCACACACTCATACACAACATCTACTCATTGGCCCTGTAAAGAAACAACTTGATACAGATATCGACTATGACAAAAATGACAATCTTTAAAAGTTGTAAAATTTTTCTCTTTATAACTAAAGTTACTTAACAATACTTTTTAACTGGTTAAAATGTTTCACTTTTTTTGATAATTAATTTACTTTTAATTAAACCGTTTCTTATTAGACGTATTTTAGTGGTCAGATGTTTAAATTTATTTTCACCCAAGAAAAAATACCCCCAAAAAACAATTATACTGAATTACTGATTATCATTGTGGATAACTCAAATGAGAAATAGAAACTATTTCAATCGCCCGCAGGGCAACCAGGAAAAAACTGGAGAGTACACCTCTGTATATATATATCACTCCCAACAATGCTGTAAGGCAACCAATAATTAAATTTGGAGTTACTAGAGATAAAAGATATTGTTAAATAGCAAGGAAATGGTTAATAGATGGCTTGAAAAGTTGTAGGTTGTAGTCAGGAAAGCATAAAGAAGAGGAGTTCAAACTCATGTACAAATTAAAAAACTAGATAAATAAAAGTTTTGAGAGTATGAAGGGACAGATACAGTAAAAGCGACTTCATTTCTTAATTTTATTCAGAGTTTCTGACTCATCGACTTTGCTGAATGACATTAAGTGAGAATGAATTTTAGTTGATGGAACTAGAGATGATAGCAACCATAATAATATTTATTGAAAAGAGAAAGAGATACTACTTTACAACGATACGAGAGAGGTTCAAGTTTGGCAGATAGAGCAGATCTAACTATGTTTACAATGTTTTTGATTTATATGGTTTTCATGAGAGGTCAGTAATGAATGATAATCTGAAAAGGTGTAAAGAAGATGACTCAGTGAAAGGGTTGCCATTTATAAATATAGGAATTATGACAATATTGTGATAGTTGTTTCCAGTAATTATTTGAGTTTTGTTGGAGTTAAAATTCACAAGCCACTGCAAGCCCCAATCTGTTACAGAAGTGAGATCAGATTTAAGATCCACTGTCTGTTCTAAGCAATAAAAAAGAGAAGACTTTTTGTCAAGACAGGAGTTTAAAGTTGAGTCATCTACAAATAGAGTTACTTTTGATGCAAGGTTGTCAGAAAGAACCTTAATGTATATAAGAAACAAAGCAGGACCAAGGATAGAACCTTGAGGTACCCTAGAAGTTACTAGAAATAATGATAAGTATTGGTCTTTCGAGGATTACTTTAATAAAGTGCTTAGAAAGAAATTGATAGTCTTAAATACTTTATCAGATACATCAAATAAAGGAAACTTATGGAGAAGACCACTGTGCCAAACTTTATCAAAAGTTTTAGATATGTCAAAAACAATAGCCCCAGCCTCGCTGCCTTCATTTAAACTCCAATAAAATCATCAAGTCACAGCAGTTAAAAAGTCAGTTGTAGAATCAGAAGATGAAAAACGGTGTTTATTGTCTACCATATGTTATTTGATTCCAGATGGGGATTTAGAGATTTGTTAATCAAAAAGTCAGAGACCTTGCTAATATCAGAAAGAAGACTGATCGAAAGATAGTTGGAAGGGTCATCCATGTTCTCCAGAAATTTTAGAAATTGGAAACACAGATGTCATTTTCCATCAGGCAGGAAAACAAGATTCAGTCAAGCACTTATTAAATAGAATTTAATAAGTGCTTGAGAGAAAATTGATAAGAGTTCTGGAGAACACTTTTGTAAGACTATATCAGAAATGTTGTCTGGACCACAAGCCATAGAAGAGTTTAATTGTGATGTGACTTTAGCAACTGAAGCTGGAGTGATTTGAATGTCTAACAATCTGTTAACTTGTTTAATTTGTATAGAAGGAAGAGAATGGCCATAAGTTTCAAAAGCCAAAGATTAATCCCATGAATTAGAGATGAAATAATAGCTATGAGTAGGGTCAAAAACTAAATGTTATCTATGAGTAGAGTCAAAAAGATCAAGCATTCATCGTCATCTATGTCAGCTTAATAGATAAAAAAGGAGTGTGAGGCTGGTCAACAGAATTATTCTGTTTATCACTAAAGTTACTTTTGTAAACCTAGCTTTGTTGATGGTGCTGTTGAAGCTTTTCAAAATATCTCTAGAGCCTAACTTTTGAGATAAGATATGTGATTTAGTAAACTAGGAATAATGGAGTATAGCAACAAACAGCACTTTTTTACATTGGTTCCTTGCAATAATAAATAGGTATTTGCTCTCAGCAGAGTTGTTTTTGGAACCGAGAAGAAGTAACAAAAGCTTCCTATTGTGATCTAAAAAGTTACGTAGGAGACACATATGTCTGCAGAGAGAGAAAAGATATCAAGCCCAAGGTTTGTCATGAAGAAAATCTCAAAAAGAATCCCAGTCAGCTTTAGGATAGTAGTAAGTAGTGGGATAATAAGATGAGTTCAAAAAAGTATAAGAAGAAATATTTGTAAAGATCACAGTTGGAACCACCTAAAGGTGAATAAGTGGAAAATGAACACAAGCTAGGGTCAGAGATAAGACGCAAATCAAGAAGTAAAGGTAAGTGGTTAGGGTTGTCTGGAAAGCGAGTCACAAAGTTGAATATCTGAGTAAGAGATTAATAAAAACAGAAGTTATGGGCTTTATTGCCAACAGGGTCAGTGGTGTTAGGGCTAAGTCATTCAGTGTGATGAGTATGAGGGGTAAAGAGAAAGGGCATGATTAATTTGATCAGAAATAACATCTAAAAGAATGCAGTCTTGAGAAGAGGGAGCACGATAAAGAACAAAGAGAAAGGTGATATAGTGAAGAGGTACTAAAGAAAAGCACATAAAAAGGTTCAAACCTCATTTCTTGATGTAATGAAGAAGAATATTGTAAATGAAGTATAATTTCCTCTTTTGAGGATATCTTTAATTATCAAATATTTATTAATTTTTTTATAAAAAGTCTTTAATAAAGCAGTAAGAGTGAAATAATTTAATAATCTTAAAATACATTTAATACACTTTATGAACTTTTAGAGAAGACCAGCATGCCAAATTTTATTGAAAGTTAGCAAGTCAGCCATAGAATGAAAACAAATCTCTTTTGGTTGTCAGAGAGTTATTAGACTCAAGAAATCAAAAATTTGTTGAATTCAAAAACTTTGCTTATGATAGGGAGAAAACTGATTGGATAATTAGATGGGTCAGAGTGTTTCCCAAGGTTTATAAAAATTGGAAACACCATGCTATTTTTCAGCAGATAGGAAAACAAGTTTAGTCAAACTCTTGTTTAATAGTTTAGAGAGCATAGACTGA